GGGCGTCATTACGAAGACTAAGCTGTATGAGTTCGAGTGGCCGCGTGGTGGCATGTTTTTGTGGGTTAAAATCCACTTCGAGGCCCATCCGTTGTTCGGGGCGATAGGGTCCCAAGGCAACGTGATCAAAGGGCCAACGCTCTCGTCCGCTCTCATGATATACCTAACGCACACGCCGTTCCTCGTCCTCGCCAGTCCCGGGATGATGTTTTCGGCAAATGAGAAAATTGCCGCGCAGCGAGGTTGGGCCTACTTCCGTCTATGCTTCGCTGCCGAGACGGACGAGATGAACAGTGACTGCTCGACCCGGTTTGGACAGGGCGTGCAAAAGTTCTGGCGCATCAAGAAGGCTGCCGAGATTGAGGCGCTTCTGGAGGAACTTGGGTCACTCGGAGCCGAAGAGATCGAGGGTCTAACAAATATGGGTTTGATGGGCTGCTAGATTGTGGATCGGCGATATAGGATAGATATTCGGCCTACGCCTACATCATATAACCGGGGCCTTTTTTAACGATATAATGAGATACCATCGCGATTTAAACCACTAGAATACTCAGGATCAGTTATCGGTGTCCTGAGTGTGGCCTTTGAAGCGTGGATGTCATATAATAAAAGAAGAAGAGACTTCTCATATATTCTGCATATATAATGGGACCTTCCTTACCTTTACTTGTACTTGCGGTTCTGCCAGTTAGTGATATACAGAAGTTGATTTAAGAAAGCTGTCAAAACTCGAGTGAGCGGGGTTGAAGGTAGGGGTTAATGTTAGTTAACTGCTGAGGGATGGAGACTGGATACGCACGCTCCACACCGCTCCCTACCGGTAGTACCTACCTAACATAGGTACCCAACCACTACCAATAGACATTACCTTCATGTAGTCCGGGTATCTACCACTGCTGTGTTTGGAAACACAGCTCATTTAGGTAGGTAGGAAGGCACGATGGTTCTTTCTAGTGGTGGTAGGCGAAGAACGTCCCTAGACGTCGAAGTAAGCCAGGAAGAGAACACTGTAGTTTTTATCTACCAGATAATGGATATTTAAACTCGAGTGGATAAATGATTTCGCTCGATCGCATGTGGTACGGTAGGTCGCTGGGATATGAGAACCTTGGAGAATATGATATGATATTAGATCCGTGGAATTGTCAATATGGATCAACTTGGCTTTTCTAAGGGTTGCCTTGTCAGCCGGTGGGAAGGAGAATTTAGAAGCGCGAAGATTGAAGAACATATAGCTCGGGTAAAATATTGAGCGCCTTGGACCCAGTTGCTAGCGTGTTAGTGTTGTTTCAGTGTACATGACTGTCTTATTAGCCTCAACAAGAAGCTGGAATAATCGGGGACGTAGGTTTGTCAGGGTTACAAGAGACATTACCCAGGTATATTTCATGACGGAATTGTCTTATCACCTAGATTCACGGACACAAGCATAACAGACGGAAGAAGACAAGTTTGGGCAGAGAAATGTTCATAATGACAATTCCATTGATTCATGAGACCCTATGACCACATTACGCCCGTTACAATCGCAATCCGATGCTATCGCCTTAACCGTTTTCCTTCAGAAAAGCTGCTCACCAAGCTAATCTAACTTAATCCTCCTTCAGGATACTGAGGAAGGTCTCGGGGGTCTTGGGGGGCTTGCCAGCCTCCTTCTTCTGCTGACCGAGCTCCTTCTTGACGAATGTTGAGTGGTAGGGGTTGAAGCGCAGCATGACCTGCTTGTTGCGCAGAGGGTTCTTCTGTACACCAGCACGCTTGGTCAGCGCGCCACCCTTGGGGGCGCGGAGGACGCTCTGGATTTCGGAGCTGTTGATCAGACGGCTCAGGTCGGCTTGTGAAACGACGTTCGAAGGCAGCAAGAAGTCCTTCTTGAGCTCAGAAGGTGTGGTGGTGGTGCCGTAGATGCTATCAAGAGCCTTGAAAGCAGCCGAGGTCCAGACGATGAATCGGCCGAGGTGACCACCAGGGGCCAGCTGGAGAAGGTTGAGAGCGTAGACAGAGCAGGTCTCAACACCGGGCAGGTTGCGAGTACCCTTGACGAGCTCGGTGCCATCAACCTCGGGGTCGTAGATGACTAGGGGTCCACGACGCTGGCGGTGACGGCGGCCTCGCAGCTTACCCTTACCGGCTCGCAGCTTCTTGGACTTCTTGGCCTTGATAACGTCGGCAGAGGCGCCCACGGCAGACAGGATAGCGAAAGCATTGGCGGTCTTAGCGGCAGCACCTCCCTCAAAAACGGCCGAGTCGACGACTAGGGGAACCTCGGGGACACTGGAGATCTGGTGGCCACGGGCGAGGAGGAGGGGGGCGACAGCGGAGGCGGCAAGAGCAGAGGCAGTAGCGAATCGCCTTGTCATTGTTAGTTCCAGTCCGTATCTTGCAGCACAGGGAGCACTGGAGGCGCTACTCACTTCTGGCCCTGGTTGATCTTGATGTGCCACTTGCGCCAGATCTTGGTAGGGGCGAACATGCGACCGGAACGGCACATGTTACCGAAGGCAGCCTGACCGGCACGGTGAGTACCACCACCGGAGACACGGGGAATACGGGCGACAGCGCGACCTGGGCACCATTATCAGCAGCTATTTCCACATGGCCGGTTGGTTTCCAAGCAGGCAGTCCTCCAATCGCACTCCACGCCATTGCGAGCGCTCATCTCCTCCCGCACACTGCACTACACTTCAATCCAGAAAAAGCGGGCGACTAACCAGTTCCCCAGGACTCGGCAGAGGTCTGGTGACCGGCCTTCTCGCTCACGGCGTAAGGCTGGCGCTTGTTCTTGGCCATGCCGGTATGGACCTGCTGGACAATGTCGGGTCGGATGGGCGAGGCGAAGACGGCGGGGATGGGATGCGTAGCTCCCGAAGGAGTACCATCTTTGCCGATGATGGTGGCAGTCGGTCTCGAGGCCATCTTGAGGTCGCTGTGCTGTATGTGGAGGGTTAGTAAAGGACGGAGGACAGAATTGAGCAGGTGAAGCCCCAGTTCTGTGGTGTGGACGGCGTGCGTACCTCGACTTGGTCGGTTAGTGATAATTTCTCAAGTCGAAAATTGACAGTCGAGGACCCCAAATTAATTTTGTGTGGGAGAGTGGAGGGCTAATCGATTTCGTCTACACAATTGCTGGCAGCCGTCGGCACCCCGCCGGTCCGTTCTTGGGAACGAGATCCGTGCAGCCAATCAGAATCGCCTGCAGTAGAATGACCGGACGCTACCTGACCTTATTGCGTAAGGTAAAGCATGTATCTCTTTAGAGACCCATTCGGCACCGCAACATAAAAAGTGGAATACTGGGGCCGCACTTACAGCAATATATATCCAATAAAACAATTATCCGAGCGTTATTTTATGATCTTATTGGGTGTATGTAACTGTGCGAGCGGCCCCGCTATTCCACTTTTTAAGTCACGGTGCCGAATGGGTCTCTAAATAGATACATTTACGCATACATGTATGTAGGGTACTTCTATAAGGTACCGCAGCTGCCTCCTACGTACATGTAATAGGTATTCACACATGCATGGCTTTTGTGCTATCTATCCCATGCATTTGATGTACTTCTAAGGTCGATAGTGATTTATTACACCTCAAGGGTGAATGCGATTGGACTGTCTCGAGGCACTGAAAGCATGACCTCGACGCGAATATAAGAATATCATACATGTACGTTGGCTGGAACTTGGCATTATTTTCCACATCGACGCCTCGTCTCGCTATGTAGCAGTGCCTTCGGCAAGGCGTTATAAGGATAATTATATAGCTAGTTAAAGATGATGTGGGTATAACATTGGGCGTATACATTTAGCAATACACCTTGACATTCGACTCCATAATTGGCTATTCATTTTCTATGGAGACTAGATACTAACTATAACCTTCACTGTCTGCAGAGCGAAACACAGGCTTTATTCCCAGCAATGATACTGTGGCAATAAAACGTCTGTGACAACTATCACCGAAGGAATCTCGGGCGAGTGAATCCTCAGCGCCAACACTGTATATACCGAATTTCAACTAGAAGCCGTGGACCTTGATTTTCTTGGGGTCAAGCTCCAAGCCGTCACGGTCGACAAGGAATTCCTCTAGGCGGGGTTAGTCTGACGGCACCAAGTCGTGGGAAGTGTCTAACAAGGGTCTACATACGCATAACCTTGCGCTGGTCACCTTGCAGCTGAATGACTTCGCCCATGTTACTGTCCATCACGACAGTGCCATTGCAAGCGAATTTCTTCTTGATCACCGTGAGAATTTTCTTTCGGTCAAACTTGTTGGGCAACCCCTGGACAGTGGTCAAGGTTTTGCGGCCATTGCGTTCTGCATCGGTTAGCCGAGCCGCGCCGCGCCGCGCCGCGCAAGCGCAGGATGAAAGCAACCGCAGCGGGGAATACTAACGCTGGATTCGAATGTGGACGTAGTCCTCTTGCTGGCTTTTCACCTGGCTCGTGTCTTCATCTGCTTCAGCATCATGGAAGGGATCTAGGCACGCAGGGACGCATTAGCGGGTCTGTGAGAGGGCCATTGGCCTCGGCCTAGGGCTGACTGAGGCTGCATACCAAAGGACTTGAGGTTCTCGATGGACATCCAAGCTACGGAGCTTCTAAGCGGCTTAAAAGATGATGGTATAAGAATAATCGGTGCTCTAGGGTATTATGGGCGTAGGTTGGTCTCCTCAGGACGTTGAGGTGTAGATAATGACTTGGGCAGTCGATAGATCAGATGAGTGGCGAGATAGACAACCTGGAAGTAGGCGAGTAGGAGACAAAGGGTGGGGTAAGTTAACAACCTAAGAATAAGCAATAAGTACTAAATGCGATAAGGTTCTATTGTCACCCCACTATGGAGATAACCCGGCGTTTATCCGACTTAAAGTTCAATATTGAATGTACTACATGTACCTAGCTCAGGTAGGTACTTACTGTGTACGTGGGGATCCACTAACAAGTGTGACCTCCCAAAGTTAGAATCTAGACTTGATTAACAGCTCTCACTCTCAATCCGAATTGGTGTAGTGGCTAACATTTGACGCTCTCAATGTATGTCGAAAGATGTATAGAAGGTGCCGTCAAGCCCGGGGTTCGATTCCCCGATTCGGAGTAATGAAAATACCTTTTTTTGTCCCTTCTCTGTTCCATGTCTTGAAGAGATAAATAATAAAAACATTATCTTTTTGTCTTGCTAGATTTTTCTCTTCACGGACAGCAAGCATACACAAGTTATACACAGTACATATACAGTACCTCCTAGTACTTAGGATAAGTATGTGTAGGTATCCTTCAGGGCACAGTTTTGCCAAGTTCATCTGACTGGACCTACTCGATTGCTTTCTGTAGACCACATTAGCTAAATGATCTATCGCATAATGACGGTTATCACCAAGGTGCCAGTCGACCGCTGTACGAAATTAGGGTTATAATATAGATGAGTGGTACGCATACTTTTTTTACATACTTTCTGCAGGTATAGAGCAATAACTCAGTAACGCAAGGGTATCGTAACCAATGGGAACCTTTCCTCCATATACGTAGACTATGCGTAGATCTCTGTTAAGAAGCGCTGGACGTGGCTGGGTGTTGTGGTCATGTTGTCATATATATACTACCTATGTCTGTTGTGTAACGCAACTTCTCCGTACTTATAGTAGAGTAGACATGCAAAATATGAATCATGAGACGATCGTGTTAAATCTCCTGATATGTCCGTACTATTATTACTTCTCAATCGGACAGGGTCAACTGCCCATCTATGCATGTCTACATACCTTTAGAGTAATCTAATCCGATGTTCCCTCCTAGTCATTCCGGACTGTGTCATCAACTATCCGACTTGTGTTACAATATCGCCAGATTGTTGTAAGCAGCATCTTGCTTATTTCCATCGAACCGTTGAGTACGGTCTGGGCCAATACCGTGCAAGGGAGATTGCCTTTTACCGCGGATTGAAGTTGCAATCACGATGCATAGGTCAATTGCTGACAGTGGCCCGAGTAAGGAAGGCTACGAGTAGCGAGCGCGCCGAGTGATCCGACAGACGTTGGATGCGTATTTTTACCTACCATGTTGAGAACCATTCACATCCACCGTAACATTGGGAACGGTGCAGCTGTAGCCTGCAGACAGCATGCTTAAGCGACTAACAAGAAGTTCGTCGCGTCCGTCCCCATCGGCACGCACGCTTGGTACCTGGATGCGCTAAAGATGAGCTCTGCCAATAGTCCCCCATAGTGTGCCGTGTGTGCATATTGCTAACTCAATCTGTATAGCAGTACGCAGTTGGCACGCGAAGCCACGTTTTTGTGGGTTTCCATTTTCCTTCTCCAGCTCCTTAAGCCGTCAGGTACGGTTCGGGAGGATCCATGCAACCTAACCTCGGATCCCGGTCTTGATTTACTGCGTGCACGGCAGTGTGATGATACTCGCCGTGATCTAAACAGAGCTGTAGCCGGAAAGATGACGACTGACCCTATGCGTACAAGCTACATTGCAACTTATATGCGAAGAAATTTTTACACGCCGTGAACCATATATTTATATAGCATTTATCAACTTTTGTCGGTTAGAGTCAGGGCCGCTATACCGAACATTCCGCTGAAACTCATAAGGCGACACGTCTTGTATCAAATCTATGTAGGTTAATATACCTACTTGTAACTTGTCTCGGAATATTTGCACCTACACTAGTATACGTAAGTTTTTTAGACCACTCTAGTAGTAGTAGGACATGTCTCAGGGGATGCTAAACACATAGCAAACGTAGCGTCGAGGGTTGTTGTGATTTTAGATTATGAATCTATAATGGCTTGCGTCTAGACCCGCGATTAGTTTCCGTACTAGATAGTATATGTGATAAGTGTAATGGGTCAGGTATTATTGGCTACCAACATCCATCCTCAGCCGTACCTGGGGTAAACACATTCCTGGTAATGAGTATTTTCAACGTCCCGACTGAAACCATCTTGAATTTACTGTGTCATTCTTATAACTACGATATAGTAAGCAAGCAATATGACCATCGAAGCTATTTTGGATGCGTTAGAAATGTTACTTCGGTTGTCTTAGCTGCTTGAGTGGGCCGATACCAATTGTACACTATAGGTTGAGGGCACAGCATCAATTGTGACGTGGATAATATGAAAGCCCTTTGAGCTGATGATCAGCGTAAAGATCTATCGCAATCTAGCCAGGCCGGTGCTGACTGGGGTTAATATCCGATAGTCCAGGGGTTTCTCAAAACTACGGCTCGTGTATCCGTTACGGCTTTCGATCCTGGTCTGATATCATTTTCGATCAAGACGGGGCATTCTCGGTAGCACAGCGTGCCGACTCTATTCTTATTCGAACCACCTATACCGGATTCTCGTCGATTCGGGTGCGAGACGCATGCGTACGTAGTTCGGTTCACTTATTTGCGGTGGCATATTGATTATCAGTGTGTTGCGACCACGGCCCAAAGCTATTAGTATTGTGATATTGAGCGATGCTTGTGAGATTATCTTCGGACAATACCCTGATGGTTCCTGTCTCTCATGGGAATACCGAGACATTCAGGGATCTATCTAACAGGCGCACCCCGTACGCCACGAGATGTAAACTGCGGGGATAGACCGCTGTTCACTGATACCTACCTAACTCGGGAGCCATGTATTGTCAAGCTGAAGGCGAACTATTGTTTAGAAGCATGTTCTCGCCACCTGACTGCCTATCCCTCACCTCAGGTACACCACACCCCACAATGCTGGAGGGCTGACTGATTCCAGGGTGCCTGGACTGCAGCTGTGTATGGTACCCTATCTTTTCCGAATAGGCGAGCATGAGCCCTTCATTCATAAGCGAAGCCTTGCATCTGCACGCCAAGCTGGTGAGACCGTTAAAAACTACTCGATAGTGGCGCATACCAGCATGTTGTTCATCTAGGTACAACGGGTTGAAGGAGCCGTTGATATCCCGTACTTAAATTCCCAACTTAGACTAGAACTTCCAAGAGCCTCGCGATCGGCGCTGATCAATGACATCCCACGTTCAACAAACAACCAGGGTCAGACGGGACATGGTTCGGGAGACATTTTAATAAGTTCGGTAGGTCCCGGAGACCCTGAAAACTCCACGTGTGGATCCGTACGTAGCATCAGGTTCCCAAGTAGGTGGTCACCTTGTCTAATTTCTCACCTTTGCTCCTTGCCATTGCATATTATATAGACACCTACTGTGTAGAGTGCGCACAACACGTATTGTCTCGGTCTCCAGCGTGGCTGCATTAGTCGTTCGTTCCACCTCTGCGGCTGGACGCTCGGGGAGCAGGTTCATCCAATCCCATCGTAGTTATTAGCCACATTATTCTCAGTCCTCGTATTCTACTATCTGCGCGTCGGTATGCCGGCAGGGATCGTCAGGGCCATGGCTGATAATGTTCAAAAAAAAGTAATGCCATTTGGATACAACAATATGACCGCCAGTTTATAGTATTAAAGTCCCTCTTTCCTTTACCTTATGTCGAGCTTATTCACGATGATTCTTTGTCCGCGTCGATCCCCCTAATTTCGTCAGACTAGATGTTGGGTGGTCATTTATTAATCCTACTAATTCTTAATACTATTTGATTCTGGCTCTGTGCCAGGATAAGTCCCCGTCATGCGCTGGAACACACATTTCTTGTCGGCGATGCTCTCACTGAGCACGCTGACAAGTGCAGATCCAACTTGGCCTTCTCAGAACGACGAGTTGGAGGAAATTATGTATCAAGTGCAAGGCTACCGCTCCAGACAATTCGGCGGAACCGTCATACCATGCTCAAGCCAAGCTTCAGGGCCAGGCCGTCACAATGCCGCGGAGTGGCTGAGAGCTGCTTTTCACGACATGGCAACTACTACCATTGCTGGCGGCCCTCGACAGGGCGGCTTGGACGGGTCATTGCAATACGAAATAACAAGCTCGGACAACATTGGTCCGGCATTCAACACTACGCTCAAGTTCATGGCCGACTACTACACAAGTAGATCAAGTGTAGCTGATCTTCTTGCTTTGGGCGTGTACTATGCCGTGAGATCGTGTGGTGGTCCGGTGGTCCCCGTTGCCGGCGGTAGGATTGATGCCAAGCAAGGTGGTCCTATTGGTGTCCCTTTGCCGCAGAACTCGGCCTTCACATTTGGGCAGCAGTTCACACGCATGGGCTTTGACCAGACCGAGATGATTCAAGTGGTTGCATGTGGCCATACTATCGGCGGAGTTCACGAGGCTGAATTCCCCCAGATTGTCCCTGTGGGTAGTACAGCGAATGGCGAGGGACCGATGGATTCTACAGTGGATGCATTCGACAACAAGATCGTCACCGAATATATCTCAGGCAATACTACGAACCCCATGGTCGTTGGCCCTTCGATCCAAGCTACCAGGAACTCCGACTTCAAAGTCTTCAGCTCGGATGGAAATACGACAATAACCGCCATGGCGGATCCCGAAACCTTCCGCAGCACTTGCGCCACGGTATTGCGCAAGATGATCGAGGTTGTCCCTGATGATGTCGTTCTCTCTGATCCTATCCAACCTTACGCCGTCAAGCCAGTTGAGATGCAGCTCACACTAAACTCTGGAGCTTCAACTTTGCAACTGTCTGGGTTTATACGAGTCCGCACCACCGACTTTGGTGACGATTCTGCCGAGAGTGTGGTGCTAACATACAAGGACCGAACGGGGGGCGATGATTGTGGCACCCTAGGTTGCACGCATACTCTCTCCCTCCTAGGGGCTACCCAAGGCTTCGATGACACGTTCGTGGTGAGTTTATCTCATCTCCCCTTGAGCTACCTCTTGTTCCCCCTTTCTAACACGTATCTTAGTGGTTCCCCGTTAACGTTGAAATACCGGCCTCCTCGGGCATCTCCTCATTCACTTTAACCGTCAATATGGCCAGTGGAACGTCCAAGGCCTATGACAACAACGGCGATTCGTATCCCATACAGGATGCTATTCTTATGCAGAAACCCCAAAGCTGTCTTCTTCAGGGCAAGTTGGACGTTGTGGCAGCTGTGAGTTCGAATTCTATTTAGCTTGGTCACCAGGCATTGTACTGACGTCCTGAAATAGGTTCGCAACGACCTTAAT